TCAACGAAGCTTTGGCCTGGTCTCGACGATTGGAGAAAGAGTCCTGTCAATGACCTTCGTCTCTGGGGACCTACAGGTCCTCTTCTTCCTTCCTTTAATTCCATCTCCGACGGCTTCAACAATCTGGTCTCGTCGGCGAGTTCTCTCGCCGATCTCGGTGCCCTCGTGCTCTCAACACCTGATCCTCTCTCAAAATCACATCTTTCCCATTTAGCTTTCTCACGTTGGCGCAGTGAGAATCTCCCTGTTGGCTCTATCTCTCATCTCCCTTCTTCTCCTGCTCGTCCTCCTAAACCACTCCTCGTATGTTCCTCAATTTCCCTCCTTTTTACTCTCAATCTGATTTTCACAGATTGAGTTTGAATCTGTTGTGCAGGTTTCGACCAACGAAGTTCCGAATCCGAAAGAATCAAACCTTCCTCTTAATGCTCATATGCTTCATAACCTCGCTCATGTAGAGCTCAATGCAATTGATTTGGCTTGGGATACTGTTGCTCGCTTCTCTCCTTTCTTCGACCTTCTGGGTCACAAGTTCTTTGATGACTTTGCTCATGTTGCTGATGATGAGAGTCGCCACTTCTTGTGGTGTTCACAGAGACTCACTGAGCTTGGTTTCAAGTCAGTCACACTAAAGTTTCAATATTTGATTGCTTCAAGACAAACCCATTAGAGTAATAATATCTATTGTTTCTTCTTATTTAAAGGTATGGAGATATTCCTGCTAATAATTTGCTGATGAGGGAATGCGAGAAAACATCCAACAATGTCGCTGCTCGCTTGGCGGTGATCCCTCTTGTTCAGGTCCCCAACTCATTTAATATCAGAAATGTACTTGCTTCCCATGGATTCTCAGTCTGAAGTTTCAGATTCATAGAAGCTTCAACACCAATTTGTTAGCATAACCTTAATTCATACCAGTTTAGCTTTATAGGAGGCTAGAGGACTTGATGCTGGACCTAGGTTGGTCAAAAGGCTGATGGGATTCGGAGATCATAGGACTTCGAAAATCGTGGCGAAGATTGCTGAGGAAGAAGTTGCACATGTAGCTGTTGGTGTAGACTGGTTTCTCTCCGTGTGTCGAAAGATGAACCGTGCTCCTTGCCCGACATTTAAAGGCATATAAACAAGTCTCTCTGCCATGCTTTTATCTCATCATTTCCCCTGTCGTTTTATATGAATATCTTTTCAATCGCATGTGCTGTGTAGATCTGGTCAAAGAGTATGGTGTTGAGTTAAGAGGACCTTTTAACCACTCAGCTCGGGAGGTAGCTGGCATTCCGCGAGACTGGTAAGTAAACTCCATACAAATCTTATAGATCAAAGATTTGTCTACATCAACGCACTAAGGCACATTTCAATTTAGCGTGATTGATTAGATTATTTCATATAACTTTAGGTATGATCCATCATGTGGCACGGAAGTGGATGAAGGCGGCAACAAACAGGGTGACAAGGAGCAACTTTCTGCGGTATGTTTCTTCTTTGTTCATGTCTCTATAGCTATGCTTCTGGAGGAAGAGGCAACTTCTTGCTGAAAAACTTTGCTGCAATTCATCATGACAGGTTTATGATAGGCTCACTCACATAATCTCAATGGAGAGTGAGAATTCAAGTCTCGAAAGGCCAGCCAAATGAAATGATGCTGTTGGAGTTTTGATTTAGTGGCTGTATAACTGATGAATGAATGTCGGCCGTAATTTCTTGGGCTCTGAAACCACAGATTAATGATTTCTTATACGAAATAGTTCAAAATCTACCTTCAGCCTATAATTTTCCTCTCTCAGTGCGGCTTCTGATTCTGGTGATTTCTCAAATTTTTATTAGCATGCTTATGTCTTCGTTGCCTGTGCATGACTATAAAAGTTGAGATTTGCATTAGAGTTGATTCAGGTTATGTTATAGTCTATTGCTCACAACCAAGATACCTTGTTATTATGTTCAAAGTAGAAAAGTAAAAGATGTCAATGAGAAAAAAAAACATCAATATGTTCTTCGTCCAAGTACACAACTAACGCACTTGTCTTGTTGATCTTGGATTGCATTTCTATAGACTGATTGAGATTTGTCCCTTAAATTCTTTGTGTGTACAAACATATTGTGTGGAACTAAACTTGCATAGGTAAGCTCTTGTGGCCGGTTACGAGTTTGAG